CTCTTTGTTCATATCTACAGGCAGCAGTAATGAGGTGACGAGCCCACATTTCTTGTAAATACAGAGGACAACCAAGGCACTCTGCACACTAGATCTGCTACAGAGCACTGCTGTCAATGATGGTTAACACAGAGGAACCATCTGTACTAAAATGACCTGTTCAGAGCATCTTTTTACTTTGTATCAGATGACTTTCCAGTCTTGCACCTTTTGTGGCAGCTCTGCTCAGTAACACAAAGTCTGTCCAGGCAAGCAGCCTGCACCGTGCAGGATCAGTACCTCCTGCCTCCCTGTTCAAAGCCTGAACTGTGCACTCACAGGAAAATTTCCCTTTCCCAAAGCACTTCCCCTAAATCAGGGATAACTTAGGCCGTTCAGTATGGACCTGCATTCCAAAAGCCTCAGAATCAGGTCTTGGATATTAACTGTGAAATCGCCTCTAAAGAATGGGAGGCCACAGTGTTCAGGATCCTGCACTAGATCCTAGAAACCCTCTGCCACTGTAGGTGGGTGAGGTCAGCCACCTTCCTCTTCCCCATTTATTTGACATTCCCATCCTATCTAACACTCCGTGCCCAAAGACTTTTTATCCTCCAAATCGCTCTTGAAAGTCTTTTTCATGCCCAGTGCCCGCAAAAATCCGATAACTGCCTTGGTGTCTGTGTCAGGTATTTGGACACTAGAATGGCAGGCGTAGTAAAGTAACCTCGATAGGGCTGAAGTAACTCGTCATTCCTCTGGGTTCCCTTGAGCCCTGTCGCTGTGCCCATCTTGATCAGCGCTCCTGGCCAGGTCCTGCCTGGGTTTCATCTCACAGAGTTCCAAGCTCTACGTCAGCACTAATAGTGCCTGGTTCAGCTGGTGGGATACTTTGAAAGGTTGGCACCACATCTCCTGTATGTTTGTTCAGTCCTGAGAATCCCAAATGTGCTTGAGAAGTTAGAGATGATGGCGCTAACGTGTGCCGTGTAATCATAAAGACATCCCAGGTGGCCACCAGCCCTGCCGAGAGGCTGTCTCGGGAAGGGTGGTGCCTGTCAGCTGCTCATGGCTATTTTGAGATCCTCCTGGCACATAGGTATGAGCTTTAAACCAAGAAAGGCCTCGTCAGCCACGTGTGGCAGCTTTGCTTTCTTGGATTGCATCAGGTGTTGGGAGACACCTGGGAGCACATCTCCACCAGCAACATGATCATTGTCTGGAGCTTGGCTCCAGCTGTCTCTGCCTTCCCACCAGCTACAAGCAGAAGGGAAAGTCCAAAGCTCTGTCATTTTGCTGTCTTCTCTCCCCTGCTCTATCATTGCTTAATTGTACCCCTAAATCTTATTAAAGTTTGGGGTGAGTCATTGCTATGGCGAGGTGGAAACAGAGCTGAGCAAATGCAAGAGAGGAGGTGTGTCTTCCCGTGTGAGCGTGCTGAGCAGGAGGACTCCCACAGCAGAGAGCAACTCCTCTGACTTCACTGATGTGTTGCATCATCTGCTTGCCGCTGCCTCTAATTTAATGCTCTAAATCCCATATCAAAACACCTGTAGTCCAAAGAGAATGTAAACCTGGAGTTGGAAATGAGTGCCAATTAGACATGCAGATCTCTCTTAGTCATCTGAGACCTTCCTCCAAGCTCCCACAGGACTTACAGCAGTGGGTCCGTGTTGTCCTGTTGCATTGACTCTCCGCAGAACCCTCTTCCCTCTCCACCACCAGAGTAAAGTTGTAGGCTTCATCCAAGGTGGCTGCACTCCACTGTCCTAAATGTATTGCATTTGTGGCTACGGTAGTTCAAGCTTGTAAAACACATCATGGTCCCTTGTGGAAGAAAAGCACTGTGGAACTGCAAGGCCATTGTCGCCGGACAGATAATTTCCTTGTCATGAGCTGGAAGAGCTCCGCTGCTTTACGGTGTAGGCACCATTCTAATCCCTTAGCTTGCTGTTCTGGTTTCTGATGCAAATAAAAAAAAAAAATCTTCTTTCCAAGGCTATGTTTTCCATCACATCCCAGGTTCCTACTCCTTGTCACTTTTGGAGGTTTAAGGTGCCTCTGGCATGGCTGGGGAGGCGTTGCTGTCGGCAGGGCAGGCACCTCTCGGGGCGGTGGAGGGAGCTCGGGACGGGCGTGTGTCACTCCATCGTGGGGTTGCGAGCACAGAAGCCCAGAGCCGTTGAGGCTGGAAGGGACCTGTGGAGATCATCTGGTCCAACCCTGCTGCCTTCTCAGACAGTTGTCCTAAGGCAGGGCTGGAGCTCTGAACCTCCCTTTTCCCATCCCTGGGTCAGTCCCTCTGGCAGGACAGCAGTTTTTGCCGAGTTGCTTTTTGCACAGTGACGCTCTGTGCACCTGCTGGTTTAGAGGGAATGAATCCTGCTTGGTGAGCACTTCAGCACAGAGGTTTCTGCCATGAAACCGACATCGAGGTAGTCTGTCTGCACTAGCTTTAGAATAAATTTTTTCATCAGCTGCCCTCCGAATTAGAGTGTTTGCTGGGAGCAGTACAGTTGCAGTGTCCCTGGTTCAGTACGTACTGCTTTGTTTTTCTCTGCAAGCTTTAGCTTTAGCTGATATACTTCCAGCCTGTTTCACAGAGTTTCTTTAATTATGAAAATGAAAATCTATCTTCGTGTCAGTGGGAGCTGAGGCCCCATCCTGACAGAAAGGTGGGTGCAAACTTGGCCCTTTGTTACTGAAATAAAAGAAGCCGCAAGTTTCAGCTGCAAGGGCTGAAGAGGAGCATCGCTGTGACCTGTGTGATGTACCTGCTCGGATTAAGTCCTGTGTTGAATGTGTCTGTAAAAGCAAGGAGAGCTCGGATCCCTCTGCTGTGGCTTCTCCAGCTGCAGTGTTTGGGGCTCAGCGGCAGGAGTTAGCAGGGTGTTTCATTTCCGTGTAGCACAACGGAGTGATGATAGGAGAGCAGGAGAAAACATTGCATTGGTATTTCCTCCCTTCTTCCATCTTCTTCTTGAGGATGTTGATAGGTTTATCTCCTCTAAAATTGGGACTGTACTTCCCACAAGTAGTTCTGACCTGCTGTGGGCAGTCTGGGACCAGCTCCTACCGGAGCACAGGTTGAAGGTGTTGAGAGCGGGTTAAGCTGAGTGAGGTTTCTAGACGGGGTTGCAAGACAACTGCTTTTTTTGTGAAAGGGTGGGACACCGAGGGGAGTATGTAAGTCATCTAAACCACAGAGAGTTTTGCTAGGTGAATGCAAGATTTATTTTTGTTCCTCAGATATCGCCTGCATAGTGATATCTCAGTTATTAATGGAGCGAATGAGGGAAAGACAGGCAAGAGATGCCAGGGCACTGTGAAGATGGAGGTAAGTCTGCCATCCAAGAGGAACCTGAGAAGTTCCTGTTGGAATTACAGTAGACAGCAATGCTCCAAAGGAGAAGAAAGGCCGGGGGAATGCTGTGTCGGGTGGGATGGAGGCAGGCACTTCATACTTGTGTTCGGTGTTGATACACGTTGATAAGATTCACACCCTTCTCCACCCTGAGCCTTCTCTGCTCGGGGCTAAGCAGTCTGATAGGGAGAGGACAGAAGGGAGATTGTTGTAGGAGGTAGGAGGTTGGACTAACGTTACCGGGCAGATATTGGTAGTCTGAAAGCCAACTTGAATGCTGCCCTGGATAGGCAGTGATGTACAAATAGGATGTACAAGATGGAATAGGACAAATGGTTTTTCTTGCTTTTTCCTTCTGTCTCTGTAGCTTTTTTTCCTTTAGTACCTTGAATTTGTGTTTGTTTTTTTGGCATTTTTCCAGATGTCTTCTGGGAATAGTTATCCTTGGGCCTTTTATCTCTTTGTGTTTGTCATTTAGTGTGATCCTGAGAACCCTGAAAGCTAAGATATATGGTGAGGGAGTTCAGGTTGGTGCTTGGTTGATTCCTGTGACCTACAGTGATGAGCAGAATCACTTTGGATAAAGCCTCGGATCAGATTTTGAACTGGAGGTGAACTTTTAGAGCTGCTCAGTATAGTTGTAGAATGGTGTATCTCATTTAAAAAAAAAAAAAAAATAAACCTGCATATCCTCGGTTTTGGGGAAGACAGTAGCCTAAATGAAGAAGTCCCAGATATGAAGAGAGCAACTGTCTCTGTTCCAGAGCCAAGAAGTCGGAGTGCAGTTTGTTTAGACCACAGACAGACGCTCAGGGCTCTGGGTCTGTATCCGGCACAGCTGGGCCATCTGCAGCTTGGCAGACGTGTGTCCCCCAAGATGAGCTGTAAAAGTGCTCCTGTGGGTGTTCCCTGCTGGCTAGGTGTTACAGAAACATGCCTGTTCGTATGTACCTGACATCGCATGTGTTTATAGGTTTGATACCCAAGTGCTAAATCGAGCTGAGTACGTAAATACTAGAAAACCTGTTCATTTTCCTTATGGCAATTCATGTATTGGGGGTTCAGGGAAGAAAGAAGGTTGGGTCTGGTTCTGCTTGTAGTTGCTTCAAAGGTAAGCATTTGGTCACTGACCCACCCTTACTAAACTGTTTTAAATTTATTTTCTATGTTTGTTTTGGAAATGAGAACCCCCCTCCAGAACTAGTTAAATGTGAAAACTTCCATCACTGCTCCCATCAGTGTGTCAGATCTCCTCCCAGCAGACATTTGTTAAAACTTGTCTTGGACTCAATTTGTCTGTCTTGTTGAACCATTTGAAACACCTAAGGCACAGAATCAGTTTCCCCATATTTCTGTAAAAAACAGAAATAAGGGATCTGGATTCTGCCGAAAACAAACAAAAAAGAAAAACCTGATGTTATTTAAGTAGAGAGACCAGTTTCTCCTGCATGAGGATATCATTCCCAAACTCTTTGCATGGTGTTATATCGACCTACCCCTGCTGTTACTGTAGTAGCCCAAAATTACCGAGTGTGTGCGTGTATAGAAAAGAGGACAGTGTCCAAACTTTAGCAGTTATGCGTCTAAACTACTGGAATTTGAAGCTTTGCTGATGCTTCACAAAAGGTTTGAGTTGTGTGCTTTTCAAAGGCTGAAGCACTGAGTCTCTTCTCTCTGTTCTCCTTGCAGGTGTGTTACTAGACATCCAGCAGCACTTTGGAGTCAAAGACAGTGGGGCTGGCTTACTGCAGACAGGTAAGAGGATTTGTTTTCTCGCTGGTTTTTGTAACCTTCCTCTGCTCAGAAGGGTGTTTTCAGGTTTCTTCAGTTACAGCCTTTGGGCACATTGCTGTGAAATATCCTCTTACTAGGAAGATGAGTGAACGTGAGGGGTTTTTATTATTTTGATTTGCTGGTGGGCAGGAGATGAGGGCTCAGAATGACTTCAGTGCAGAATGGGCCAGAAGTAAGCAAACCTAATGATATTATTTATGACAACTAAATTCAAATAGGAGACAGCTCCTTCCCCTAGATCAGAAAACTCCTGATAAACCAGCAGCAGGATCTTGTTGTTCTCACCAACCTTACCTCTCTGTAGGTGGGTAATAAGTGTGGTGTTTGATGCTCTTCATGTGCTCTGCAGAGAATCTGCTGAATGCACAGTAACTGGGAGTACAGTGTGGCATGAAAATGTCAAACTCGTCAGGACAAGTACCTGAGGGTGACAACGGCAGGAAAGGCTGACAATCATTGCATTCGTGGTAACTCGTGGATTGACAATATCCCTGATTTTGGAACTGTTACCTTCAGACATTTCTCTCCTTGTGTTTAAGGCAGGATTACTGCAATTGTGATGCCCTTTGACTGTAGCAGACATTTTAGTGTTGCAGACATCTGCAGACAGAGCTGTGTACCCCCAGCCCAGCCCAGCTTTTCTGGCCTCTAGTCCTGAGGTGCTTTAGAGGAGTGCCTTTGTCAACGGGCTGGATTTGGTGCCACTGAGTAGCAGTCTCACATAGTTCTGACAGCACATCTGATCTTCGTATGGAGAGCTGAAAGGGCTGGCCAGAGAGTAAACGCAGTGTTTTAAGGAGCGAAACAGTCTGGTTTGGAAACTTCCTACAGAATTATTAGTTGGAGTCATAGATTTGTGGTGCTGTGGTTGTCTTGTCACTGTCATCTGTCTGAGGGAACCACACTGGAACAATTAGATCTCTGAAAAAAATTAGAATTCAATTAGGATTAGAATTAGCATGCCAGAAAGACAATTCTTGCCATGCCTTTTTTCTTATGCTATCACAGTGGATGCCAGATGCCTGTCAGGAGCTCGTTCATGAAACTGTGGCCAACAATAAAGTGTATAAAGTCATTCATTCTTCATGATCACACCCAGAGGTGAGAACGTTCTGGAGCTCCATCATTTGGCCTTTGATTTCAAACTGTATGGACCACTGCGGCGTCTCCTCCTCATTTTCTGCAGCCCGTGGCACAGCAGGATCCTCATCTGTGGTTACAGCTTCTTGTAATGTTGAAATATAAAGAATTAGTAACGGTTTGTATTAGGGCTTTAAAAACACTCTCCTTGTGGGACAGCAGAGTTCAGCTAAGCTGGTGTGTGCAGCACACGTCCAGACCAGAAGGCGTGAGCTTTGCAAGCGTTACTGATTATAAGTAACATCAATCAGTTATGCTCAAAGTGGCACTGCTTGTCCGTCAGGCTCTTTTCTACAGCAATTATTTGTATTTATTTATTGTACTCAGAGGAACAGGTCCTCAGTGTATCATTACACATGAAGTGCCTTCAAGAAAATATTCTGGTGGAAGATGACACTTGCCAAAGCATATATTTAATCTTCATTCCCCTCGGTGGATGAAGTCCTTTTGCAGATGATTTACTGACAGCAAGTAAGAGCTAAGCTCCAACAGGGCATTTCATTTGTTAATTGCAAGAAATGTTATTTATATCTCTAGCAAACATACAGGGCATCTGAAAACAGCATCACTGAGATATTGCAAGATTGCTGATGAGTGTGTCGTGAGTTTTGTAACTGATGAATAACTATTGCTTTAAGAGAAGCAACATTTTTCTCTTGGTTTTTGGCTGATCTGAAAACTGAGGGCTTGACTTTGCCCCTGCAGTATAGATCATAATGTATTAATCACAGTGAAAGAGTTCTCACAAAATAAAACACCATTTCACGTACGTAAGGCTAGGGGAACATAGCTGAAAACTTTTCAAATGTATAACTTTGGCTTAACAAGTTTCTGTGTTGGCAGCTGCCCCATGGCCCGTGTACCCTTAACCCTGGTGAAATAAAACACGCTGGCCTTAGCCACCATAAATACTGCTTGTAATCCTTTGTCTGTTCTCTGAGTCTGACCTCTCTAGATGTGCAAATTGGGGAAAATGGATGCAGACTGTAAAAACATTTGACCAAGGTTGCAGAGGAAGCCTACAGCAGAGCTGGGACCAGGACTGATGTCTCCCAGACCTCTGCCTTGACCTTGAACTGTTCCTTTGCAAGCAGAGAGACAGAAATATCATTTTATTCCCAAGAGAGGGTCCTGCTAACTAATTGAGTGATGTGAGACGAAAGACTGCTCATCCTGAATATGTCTTCTGAATAAAGAGCGGATTAGTCCTCAGGTTGTTAATCCTGCATCTAAATGAGTTCTAAATTAATTTACAATGTTAATGAGAGGGAGTGAAATTTAGTGTTAGCTGGCGGTTCATATCACTCATCAAACAGGCTTTAAAAAATAATACAGAAAATCCTGTTAACTGAGAAACAAGGCTGCACACAGTTTTAGGAAGAGATGGTACTGTGAAAACACCAAAAGCAAAGGGAAAAGAAATCCACCAAAGGCAATGCACGGCCCTGCGTTCGTACCAAACCCCTTCTTTGCAGGCACAGCCAACCTCGTTGCTCTCTCACTCCAAACATTCAACAGCCAATTCATATGCTGTCAGCTTCTGCTGCTCTCTGGAAAGCAAAGGTGATCAATTTCTTAGGAACTGCAGAGGCAGAATTTGAATTTTTGTCTTCTTTCATACTAATCCCAAGATACAAGCCGCTCTTTGCCTGGGAGATGTAAGGAAAACTGGTCAGAGGGGCGCAGTAACTCCCTGTACGGGAGGATCACGGGGACACTCCAGCCTCATCCACAGTGGAAAGGAGCAGAACGTGGTAGTCTCTGCAGCAAGGGTCCTGTGACAGCAAAGGACACGCTGACGGATGGATCGCAGTTGCTGCTGGCCCAGTAGCATTGCAGAGTACCAGGCGTGTAACCATGCTGGTTCCAGAGCCCCGGTTATCTCTTGATGATGCTGTTACTCTGTGCTGATCTTCCCTTTTAAAGCACTACATATGCAGTCATATAAATATTAGTTCAGTTCACTGTCCTACAGGTCTGCAGCCAAGCTTTCTTGGGCTTTTCATGGCTTACTGGTTGCTTTTTCCAGCCGGAGAAGGATAGTCCTGGCTGATCTCAAAAGGGGACAGAGCATCTCCTTCCCTACTTGAGCTGTACAGCTGTAGTCGGTCGATACATTTATAAGCCAAAGCACACAAAAAGTCTTTGTCATGTGTGGAGTTGGGTAACCACAGGCCTCTAAATCACAAAGACCGAGAAGATGGACAACTGGATTTTCAGAACTGCTTCAAAATAGCGTTGTCCTTCCCCTCACTCGGACCACAGGAGCAGTGCCCCAGTGCTGACTCTGGTTTCCACTAGAATTTTTTTTTCCCCTTCTTTCTTCAATTTTTGTGCTTTATTGCTCTGTCTGCTTTCCTTGCCCTTCGATTTATTTTGCTTTTGTGTCTCTTGCCAGTGTCCATTTAGCACACAAGAACTCTAATAGTGATGGTGCCTGGCTCTCGGTACAGTTTGTCTGCTGTAGGTGTCAGGATGTTTTAAACAGGGAGGGATGATGAGGCTTGTCCTTTGCTACAGCTGGGGAGACCAAGAAGGCCAGATGGGAGAAGTGACCTGCCCAAAGTCACCCAGCGGGTCTGAGGCAGAGCCGGAACGAGAACCGTGGTCCAGTTCCTGAACACGCAGCATCCAAGAAACGTGTTGATGTGGTGCTTCGGGACATGGGTCAGTGGGTTGGGTGGTGTGGGTTGACGGTTGGACTTGATGATCCTTGAGGTCTTTTCCAACCTCCAGAGATCTGCTCCTTGTCAATGGGCACCTTCATCTTCCAGCCCAGGCAGCCGAGGCTCAGGGGAAGGCACATAAAGCGGTGGGGACACTCCTGCAAGCAGAAAGTGTGAGGGTATGGCAAGGTTTCCATTGGCATGCAGAGAGGAAAAGTGCCAGTCCTCAGAAAGAGCATGGGGATGTTGTTAGAGGCAAGCCTGGTAAGCAGGAGTTTATCCCATAAGGTCAGAACAGGGAAATGTAAGGAAGTGAGAGATCTGGAGGGACTCATTAAAGGTGAATAATCATAGATAACTGGGGCTCTGAAAGAACTTGTCTCTTCTCACGTAGAGAGAGAGGCATTCTCCCAAACACCTGCCAGCCCCTGGTTCCCAGGAAGCCTCGCAGTGCCGGGAACTTTCTTAAGTCTTGTTGTGGGCTCATTTTTCCTGTAAGGGTCAATTCCAACCAAAACCTCTGTTCATTAGAAAAGTGAAACCGCTACCTACCCGAGTTCCCTCACCTCCTGAGCTGGCCTAGTGTCACTTGCACTAGGTTGCAACCTTGCGGATACGTTAGCAGCTCTGGTGTGCTGTGGTTGTACCAGCTTGCAGCGAGTAGGCGACTTGAAACGGCGGAGTGCAGGGATGGGATAAATCAGAGTTGGTAATTGAAGGTTTTTCTTTCAACTCCTGTTGACTCCTATCTTCTTGTTTATCTTGGTTTATGATGACAGCCTATGCTGCTTTAACATTTTTAATTTATTCCACACAGAGACCACCTCCTCTAGATGCTAGCCTTGAAGATGTGTATATTACATGAGGTGCAGGTGCCACACGTTTCATTTCTACTGTCTGCTTCTGCCTGAATAGATCCTGTCTTGCTCCTTGTCTGTGCGATGTGTAACTGAATCAAATCCTCCTCTTTCTTTTTTCAAATCCTCCGCTTTCCCTTCCTGCTGCACCTGCTTAGCTGTTCTTCTTGCTGGTACAGAGGAAATCACACTCTGGACACTTTCCTGTTTTCTGTTTAAAATTCATGGGCTTTCCTTTGAGTGAATGACTTTGTACACCCCAGCACCTCCCCCGGCCCCGGTGTCTCAGGTCCCAATC